GGGACGTGTCCCTGCTTATAGCAGGGGGGTTGGAACTAGATGACTTTAGAAGTTCAAACCATTCTATGATTCTGTTTTTCATAATGTCCGCTTATTTTCAGTGTAGATATTTCCCAAATCTTATGAGCTTTCTGTGGGTTTAGTAATCTTCACTGGATTACTGTCTGAGATCTGGGCCCCTCTTATGACCATGGAGACATTATAAATCCACTACCTCTTGCAGCAAGGAGTTCTCTAAGTTAGCATTCCTCATGTGAAAAACTGTTTTTGAATATGGTACCCAGGTTTTGTTTGATACCTCAGATACCTCTGTTGTATTAGAAAAGATACTGAACAACCAGTCCTTTCCTATTCTCCACAAGATAAATATTTTCTTATAGATTTTTGTAATACCACTTCTCTAACTGTCCTTTCTTCCAGCCTAATGAGTCCAAGTTTACTCAACGCCCTATGAATCATGCTGTCTCCAGGTATTTGTCCACTCTTCTTGCCCTCCAAACCATTCCCAGTCATACTCTTTTTATTCTGAGACAAGAAGACCAGAACCACTGATTACATTTAAACATGAATTTATACTGTGTAATGGTGATGCTCTGTGATAATTCCTAGCATTTGTTTATTTTGACTGTTGCTGAGCATTGAGGTGACATTCACAGAGCAGCCCCCACTCTCCCACCTCCCCTGCCACCCCACCTTGGTGACAATGGTCATGGCAAATCTAAACACTCTAATTTAAGAAACTAAGATTGTTTTACCTAGGAACTGAAATGTCTGCCAGAGACTTCCACAGGAAAAACTAGAAAACAGAGGGAACGGTGGCCCACAATGCATAAAGCCTCCAGAGCAGACACGGAACCAGGCAAAACAAGATCTTTACATTTGAATCCAGAAAGATGGTGGCTAGTGACCTGACACAGTCTGCTGAGCAGCTGTGCCAGTACAACACATGAGCAATTTAATCCAGCACCTCTTTTACTTAAAATGAAAAACAAAACCTTAATAAATCAACAATTACTTATTGCTGTATTTGGGATAATAAATTCTTTAGTTTATCAGTAGCTTGTGGCTTCCATAGCATGTTCTTTGAACAGTTTGCCTTTCAGTTACATCCCCTTTCTCTCCTGAACAATAAATTATCATTCTTTTTTCTTTTAAAGGAAAAGAGGGGAAAAAGAGGATATATTACAATTTTTTTTCAAAGCAAAAAGAAAAATGCAACATATTTTTGACATATATCTTAAAATAATATGAGGATAACTTTCTCCGCGTGTTAGATGACTATGCATAAATAATAAAGGACGTTATGTTATTTACAGTGTTACACAATAAACTAAGAGAGTCTTATTTAACACATAATCCATAAAGACAGTAAATGATGAAAACATCCAAATATGTACAAGATGTATTTACAATCGAATAGAGAATTACAAATGATGATAATTGGCCATGTTCTTTGTCTGCCCTTCTCTGCAGCATTTCATAGGTGCTTTTTTTTTTGTTTCTTACTAGAAGTAAGTCCCAGCTGATGGTATGTAGCCACACTGCAGAGCCAGGAAGTGTCCAACAGGTTGAGATGTGTTCTTGGAAGGAACACAAGTTTGCTATCCTGGATGTTCAGGTAACTGCTTGTGGTGTGTGTGAAAGAAGTAGGGAGATACAGTATTTTTTTGGAGGACTGAGCTTCCCTGGTTCCTGATAAAGGCAGTGATTGATCTCTCAAATCTAGGGGTGCTGGGGTGGCTCAAGTGAGGAAGGGAATACATGGACCAAGAGAAGGGAGTAGGTTTTTCTCTTTTACAATAACACATTGTGGTGGAGCCACAATGTTCTTTACCAGCTGAACAGGCAGGCTGCACCAGGTTGTGAACATCTTTCAGATCTATACCCTTAAAGGAGACCTTTTATCCTGGAGAACTTCTGCATATAAATAAACACACAGGAAAGCTCACAGCTCAAATTAAATGACATGGAAATAAACGAGGACAATCTGAACAACCTGGCACAAATATATTGAGACTGCCTAGCTCAGAGGTCCAGGTAATGAAGTGAACATCCTCCAGGGGAGCTGGCCATCCCCATAGGCACTTACTGGCTCTGCTCTGCATTACTGCAGTCCACAGCACCTAGGCCAGCTGGAGATGGCTGCAGCCCGCCAGCAGAACCTGTGGCCATGCAGACTTGCTAACTTTGGGGTACAGACTTGCCTGATGTGGACAATGCCTACCTTCCTCACAGTATGCTAAAAACAAGTCCAGAGGGGAGAGGCTGTGTCCTGGTCCCACTTCTGTGAGTGCCAAGCTAGGGCAACTCCCATAACTCACTGTTGCATGAGTTGTGCTGTAAGGCTGGGTTCTCCCCAAAGACCTAAGGGCTTAGGCAGCCATATCCCCAATTGTATTTTCTTGTTCCTAGGTCCATGTGAAGTCCCCAGCCCAGTTTCATTGAGGCACTGCAACAGAAGAGATTTGACATTTCCCTCTAGATCCACACTGAATAAATCATGCTTATCCAACTCCCAGGCACATGATTGCTGCTTCCTTTTGTACTGACCTTATTTGGTAGTCAAATAATTTACTTCACTTCAAAGCAAGCTACCTTTCCTTCCTGATTAATCTATCTGGGGTATCACAGACCCTTGTATGTGAGCTGGCCTTGTAGGCAATTTATACTGGAGCAGATCACGGAAGCCCTGCATGATAATCTCTATTCTGCCACTAAAATGGGTGATTTGGGGACAAATCTATTGTTCCTCTGCTTTCTTTTTTCTGCCTTGTCTGTCTTGCAGGATTGTTGCTGTATCAGAAGCCTTACTGAAAGAACGGGTTTTCAAGTGCCTCTGGAAACTCAAGAGCACAAATGCTTAGAAAACTGGTGGTCTGCATAAAGTTCACCTGGCTCACCATGCTACTGAGCTGCAGTTACTGGGGAAATGGAGTGACTGCTGCATGGGATTGCAGATAAATAGGCATGACTGAGGGGATGGAAGTAAGTGTATGGTATATAAAATTTGTACAGAGCTTTTGTTCTGGTCTGCAAAGGCAAAGTGTGTTCAAGTACATGCCAGCTAGGGAAAAAATGGCAAAGGGACTTGAGTCCAGATAGTCTGTAGTTGCCAAGCTCTGCTGTATGCCACAGAATTTTCAAATATGCAGTGCTATTTCAGCCACTATGTAGCCCAAAGCTGTACTAGCTTTCTGATCTTTTGCACCAACTAGGATGTTGCACCAACATCCTAGCACCCAACTTTCTCATAATTTTCTTCCTTTTCTAAGTTTATTGTTCTTCTTATGTTGAAAGTGGTTGTATGGGTTCCTCCACATTCTTAATAGTGTGATGCACTTCATCTCTACCATAAGAAACTAGCTAATTTTCATCCTCCTATTAAAGAGCTTCATTTCCTAGACTTTGCTTTCAGGTCTCAAACCAATAGGACACTGTCTTCAGCAAAACTCTCAGGCACATGCTCAACTTTATGCATACGCCGGATGCATCAATGGGAGTCTAGCACATGCTGAAGATAACTTCTGCTGGAATTAGCATAAGCATATGCTTGAGCAATTTACTGAGTCAGGACTTTAGTTCCTTGGGTTTACATATCACAAAATTTCTTTGACTCATTTCTCTTCATTTAACTGGGACCAGGACGTGGCCCAAAGGATGAGTGTAGTTTGGCTGAAATTCTTTTTCTCTTGACGTGGCTCCTATTTAGAGTCCTATTTAGAATACCTGTAGAACACATGTTCTCATTTTCAGAATCCCCGGAGTCTAGGAAAAACATTTGTTTTCCACATCAATCCTGAGTCTGTGCTGTGCCAACTGAACACAACAAAAATCAAAAGAAGAGAAGAGGCAGAGTGACCCTGACTAAACTGATAGGAATTCAGTGCAAAAGAGGCCATTTGCTTTTGTCTGAACGGGTGCAACAGCTCCAGCACTGACAGCACTCTTGTTCATTACTAGTCAAAGACTTCAAGGCCATGACTGTCTATATAGACATTCATATCTAATAGCCACATGTAGTACGGCTGTAACCCAAATGATGTGCTTGACTTCATAATGGACTTTGCATCAGCCTTGTTTCCTCCACCCTGAACAATGGAGTCAATAAAAGCAACTAGAAATGAACTCCATGCTTTTGCTATGTCCTTCCTACTTCCCACTACTTTAAACCATCCAGCAGATAAATTCTTCCCTGAAAGTAATTTCTGTGTCCAAGAACAACCCTTACTCTAAAAGCAATGCTAACAAGGTATTGCTAGAAGCTTATCAGGGTTCTTTTTGAGGAGGAGAAGAAAAGGGAGAAAATTGAGGGGAAAAAAAGGAATAAATAATCTTTTAAAAATCAACATTAAAAAATAGAGGTGAAAACTGATTGCACTTTTATTAGTGGCATTTGTTTTCCAGCTAGATCTCTTCCTTGCTTCGTTACAGATATCTGCTATAATATTTCCCCATTAACTTAAACTAATATAAATCTTTTTTTTTTCTTTTTTTTTTTTAATTTTTTTTTTAATTTTTTTTTTTTTTTTTTAGATTTTAAATAGAGTATTGGGTTCGAAGCCTCAGCTAACCTATACCCATTTTCTAAGGGATAACTAGAACAATTAATATCTGGAAAATAATGAAATGGCAGCTCTTAGTGATTACAAGCTGACCTTTGATTAATAATATATTTGGTTTAAAATCACAGTATTTCTTTCTTTCTATAAGTAACATTACTTAATGCAGGTTTTTTTTTTGTTTGTTTGTTTTGTTTTGTTTTGTTTGTTATCCTGCTGTAATTAATAGTAGCATGCTGTTGGATCTACTATTACCCCAGTGCTCAACGAAGCAAACCTTTTGGCTGGCAGAGAGCAGACAAAACTCTTTTCATATAAGGAAAGCAAATAAAATGTCTTATAGAAGAAAACAGGCTTTTTTTCATCATTTTTTCAGTTTTTTTCTTTTTTTTTTTCTTTTTAACTTTTTTTTTTTCTTTTTTTCTTTTTTTTTTTTTTCTTTTTTTTTCCTGGTGAAGTGGATAGGGTGGGAGTGCCATAACAGGGCTTTTTGACCTGGGGATTCCACAACAAGCAAATGGGGACTTCTGCAATTCTTGTAAATCATACATCCAGTTATTATAATGCAGTGCACAAAAAAGCCAGAACAACTGAGGCCTAAAAGATTTTGCAAAATACTACGGGACAGCAATCATTGTAGCTGTACAAAACTTGCTCTCAACATAACATAACATAAAGGCACCATTGATATCTTTCCCCATTTTGGAAATACTGTAAAAAATTGCTACATATGGCACATAACACATTTTTACATACGTATACTTAATTTATAAAAGTTTCTTTTTCCTCTCTTGTTTTCTATCAGCGGAATTGCTAAAATAAAATAAATTGTTTAATTTAAAGGTGGAATACTTCATTATATAAAATAAAGTTTTACATGTGAATCTATGTGTTTTGTTTATGTCTTATACAGCAATAGGGTCTTGGTTAGCTATTACACTGGACAACCTTGCTTGCAACTCTTCTGGTGTGGAGAAGCGATTTGCTGGGTTAGTCCTGCTCTCAGCCAGCCGATATGCAGCGGCTGGCTCCAGACTAGTTGCCATGGGATTTTGTATGCTAAGAAATGGTGTATCCTCACCTATTCTTTCATCTTCTGTTTCGCTCTCAGAGCTAGTGCTCTGAGAGCTTGTGTCGGAGTCCACTTCTACCCTGCTGGAAATATGGCCATTGGGCTTTGTTCTTTTCACCCTCCGGCTGTTGGTGAGTTTCTTTGGAGGCTCCTGTGCTGGTTCGTACTCTTGTGTGGTCTCATACTCCTCATCCTCCACTATCCTCAGAGGACTGGGTGGCAGACTGTTGCTCTCATGGGTGGGATTGTTGTGGAAGGAGTTGAATTGCTGAAGGTGGTTGTCGTACTTCTCACGGAGCCGCGGTGGTGTCACCAACAGCAGAGGTCTCTCCTCATCCATGAAGGGACTCACCGCCACCGAAGGGATGGAGATGGTCAAGCTGGAAACTGGTGGTGACATTTCAGATGGAGGGGACTTGGGAGAAGTTGGAGTGTGGAAATCAACAGGTGACATGCGAGCTGGTGTGGTCATAGCTGAGACATACCTGACAAAAAGAGATGGGAGAAGGTTGCGGGCACGAGCGGGGACACATGAACATGGCTGCTCATATGGGCTGTGGAGAATAGCGCAGAGAACCACTGAGGGGCCGCACCATCCTCATGTGCATCCTTAGCGTTCACATATTCCGTTTGCTATCTTACATCATATGAGCCTATAAAACCTCTGATTTCTGGAACTATGGTGAAAAATGCTTCAAAGCAGTAGGAACAGAGCAAAGCCCCTAGAACTATTCACCTCCAAAGATCCGAGGAGATACTGTAAATTATTTGCCAGAATAATTTCCTGGAATGAACCCAGGAATGAGAATCAGAAATATGGTAATAGCCAGAAACAAAATGGATTTGCAAGTATTTTCTCTCTGCTGCACTCACTTCTGGTAGAATCTGGGGTACATACAAATGAATAACAGGAAAGAAGGGAAGGGATTTGAGGGACAATCCTCTTGCAGCTTCACCCTCTTCTGGCAACCAGACTGTCTCAGGCTAAGGAGGAAAGCAAATGCTGGACAAAATCAGGAGCCACATTCTAGTGAGAGCTCTGTGCTGCTCTGTGCAGCTAGCCTCCCTGCCAGGCTGGTCTATGTGCAAAGAAGTATGACTGGTCAGTGCCTGAGGCAAGCCCAGGAATCCAGCATGAGAACTAGGATGTTTAATTACAAAGGTGGACACTAGAGAGCACAGAGCCTCAAGCATTTCAAAAGCAAGTGGCTGTTCCTCATCCCAGCAAGCTGCAACAGGCACTGCATCCATCTGAGCACTTGTTAAATCACCTCCACATTGCAGCTGTCTTACAACACTGCCTCTATTTTTAAACAACATAGAATATCTAAATGCTTCTTTCTTTTTTTTCCTTTTTTTTTTTTTTTTTTGTTAAATGATTGTTTTTGACTTGGTGCAGTATAGTCCTTACAATTTTTACTTTGGGTTTTGCAGAATTAAAATTATCATTATGTTTCATACGAATGTCATTATTACATATTAGCTTTTTTTTTTCTTTCTTTCTTTTTCTCTTTTTGCCTATTTTGACTGTATCCAAGCTTCAGACAGGAGGCTCTTGTCATAGCTTCATAAGTCTAAATGTGATGCATTAGATGTCCTTGCCTGGGAACAAATGCTGGTAGAGAAGACAGTGTGGCTTACTGACAGTGGTTGCTCTGCAAAATTTGCACTTGTTCCTTCTTAAGTTTTTGTAGGATGGAGTGTAGTCAAAAGTGATTCAAATATAAGAAAGTGAATATATGAAAGTGAAGCTCTGGTGCTGCAACACTGCTTATCTCAAAGGAAGAGGACTTTGGGCTTATTTGGATCAATGGAGCTCTGTTAAATGCTATGAAGTCACACTGATTCATGACGATCAGCCTGAAACTTCCTGATTGATGGAGCAATGTCCAGCATGACATTTTGCATGCTTTGGATTTGCTTTTTGGTCTTATCTTGTGTTCATGTGCTTGAGTTTCCGCTCTGTCCAAACTTATCTCCTTCTTTTAGATAGGCCGACTGAGACAAGTTATATGGCTGCGATTGATGAAGTTTATTTGTGGTTTATTAATCTGAGTCCAAAAGTACCAAAATAAATCCGAATCAAACTTTCTTATCCAACTTATGACTCAGTTTAACATGTTCCTGTTGTTTAAAACAAAGAATTATTGGAAAAGAGAAACCAGTACAGACACTGAACAGAAGTGATGAAGTGGGGTAAATCTGTTTCAGTAGAAGTACATGATTTACATCAGCTGAGGGAAAAAAAAATAAATCTGGAATACATGGGAATTAATCAAGCTAGTTGCAAATGAGAGCAGATGGAAATTAATAGGTCTGTGCACTGAATGAATGAAATCGTTATTTATTTCTCCTTGCATTAGTGAGCTTTTTATCTCTTTCGCTTTTTAAAATAGGTGTTGTCTGAAAAACTGAAGCCTTTCTACCTTTCCAGCTGGTACAGCTTTGACACACTGGAGTTTAGCTGATCTGGTACTGTTAATGCATTTAGTTAAAAGTGTTCAGTGCAATGTATGTGCACACTTTCATCAGTGTAAATTACTCATGCTGGTGTGTTACGCATTCAGTGTTCCTGGCGCAGTTCCACACAATATAATTGTATAGCACTAAGAAGCTGTTGTCCTCAAGCTAAGGTGCAGGTGCTGAATATAGGCAGCTATAGCCCATCCTGAAAGGAAGGTTAAAAGGTGTTGGATTTATCCAGCTTTCTGGCCAACCATACTGGCTCAGTGAAAAGGGATTAGAGTGCATACACATTCAGCCAATTAACCAGTTAAGTGCTGGTAACTTCACCATATGGTCCAGCTTGTCATGCAGAGATGGCATTTTACAAGCCCTGTTCCTGTCAGATGGCTAAGGACTTTACAAAATACACATGCTTGAGGCCTCTGTTCATGGTCATGGCATGGTATACAACAGTAGAAAAGGGCCACACAAAAGAGACCCTCAAAAGTCTGCTTCATTTCATTTCAAGATTGTGAGGGAGCCGGGGGCCTGGAGGATGGATGCACACAGGCTTGATTTGCTAATTCAACATTTGATTGCTTCAGGAAGTCATTTGTCAGCTCATATGCTCCTTGATGTTTCAGAATAATTTTTAGTTGCAAGTAACTCTCATTTTCTCCCTTATATACACATGCATACAATCCATCTCTCAGAAATCATCTGCCACATATTTCCTGCTTGCTAGAAATAGAAGAGGCCTAATTGAAAGCCTGGGAACTATTTTTGCCATGCCAAATTCACAACCATTTCAGGTGCAGACTAAGCCACCAGTGCATGGTGAATTATCACAGAAATGTTGCTCGATTTCACCTGTAGTGTTATCTTGAAGAAACGCCATCACTGACAAAACACTTTATTCATTCTCTCTGAAAACACTTCCTTCTCCCCTACAGTCTATTCAATGTGTGTTAGGGTGTGACTTCACATGTCCAGGGCCATCAGCATGGGAATGCTGAATGACCTGTGCTTCTAAGCATGTATGTTCAAATACACAAAGCTGCATTACATGCCGCCGGTGGTCACGTGGCAGTGCACCCCGCTTGGTTCCTAGGTCGGGGACAGTGCAGTGTTTAATACCATAGGTCCTCATCCTGCAAAGAACACATCGAGCTTCACCCTGCATGAGTGATCCCACTAATTTCAATGGGGTTACTCACACAGTTAAATGCTAATCCCGAGTAAGCACTCAGGGACTGGGGCATGGCTGTTTATGTTGGGTGAGCCACCTATTCTGAAAACTGAACGGGATGGCAAATACCAGGTAAATTTTATATAAGAGAAACATTTTGTTGACCTTTGTGGCCTACAAATTATGCGCAGCCCTTGTCTTGTGGTCCACTGTCCTGCTGCTAAGCAATTGTTCTTGTGTAGCAGCAGTACCACTGAAATGGCTTTTGCTGTACGTGCACATTCATTTTTCTGGAAACCACAATAAGTCTCATACACAAGTTAGTCTCCTTGTGGATTGCCTGGCTGCATTTTTTACATGATGGACAACCCACGATATCAAAGCTCCATGTGATTTCACAGTGTTCAGAGCATTGGTCTAGTAACCATTTTTTTTTTTTTTCCTCTTCAGTCTTTGATTACTGGGAGAAAAGCCCTCTTCAAATGTCATGTTTTTCCTCAGTCCTCCTGCTTCTCAGCCTCAAATCCAGAAACGTTTTTCAGTAAAAGTTTTCTTACAATTAGTACACTTTAAAGCAGAACTTAGCTATTGACAAAATCAGTCTGCCAGAGAAAAAAATTACTTTTTTGTAAAAAACTTGGCCAGCTATGTCTCTGGCTACTCTTGATCTAATAATGACCTCAGTTCTTATGGTTTGCAGTTTGTGTTCTTTGCTTTTATTTAATAAAATGTCAAGAGGAATTTTCAAAAGGGATAATGGGTTTAAGATCTGGAATCCTCCAGAAAGTAGGTGGCAGGTGAATATCTGTACTCTTAGAAGACTTGTCACCGTCTTAAGGTTCAATACTTTCATTTCTCCCCATCTTTTGTGCCCAATAAAATTCCTCAGTAATCAAGAATCAGTCAGAAATCCATTTTTACCTCACATTGAAAATTTCTGAAAAATGACTTTGATGGTGCTTATTCAAATGTGTACTGCAACTATAAGGAACAGAGGTCGGAAGGGAAGAACTGCTTTTCCAAGACTTCAGACTACTGCCAAGGTTTCCATCTTCATGAAAGAGGGAAGGTATGCCCTGCATGAACATCACTGTTGGGTTTCCTCCTATGATCCCAAGCTAGGAAACCCTCAGGGAGACCCTGCCAGCTGGAAGCAGTGAGGTAGATGGTGAGTGGTACCTTTCACTGTGAGGAGAGTCTCGGTAGGAGTCAGGGGTCTCTCTTGCATGCCGGAGGAAGCTGTTGCCTTCCCGTGGCCCACCAATGCCATTGAGGCGGCCTCGTGGGCCTGTTGGGCTGGTGTGCCTGCTATTCTCTACTGAGGAGCTGACGAGCACGGAGTGGCTTTCGGAGAGAATGCTTTCAGTATGGCCATTACTCCAGCTGGAGGAAAGGATGAAAAGGGAGCAGTGTGAGATGAGGAGAAGTTTAATCAGTGGAAAGCAAGGATTCTGATGCAGCTCTGGATGTGCAGCACAGCCTTAGGACTGGTAATTTTTTTTTAATTATAGGAATCCATGTACACTGACATCATTTTTCATGTGTGGGTAAAGGAAAGAAGAAGGGCATTCCTGTCTCCAGTAGTGGAGACCGTTCTTTAAAACAAAAGAGCTGTCACTGACATCAGCATACACTGAAATTAACCCTAAAAATATTGGAATGGCATTCAGTTAACAAAACACTTTGCAAATTCCTGGGAAGACATTTATCTAGGTGACATGACATAGTCATAAAATGAAAACATTGTAAGTGGATCTTAGATTTTTTCCTTTTCTTTTTTTTTTTTCTTTTTCTTTCTTTTTCTTTTTTTTTTTAAACATCTTTTCTGTTTCGCTGCAACAACAGAATGATAGTACAGGTCCTGTTTCACTTTCCAATCTAGTACCTGTGGCTAGGGGTCTGGGTGACTGTCGTGGAATGATGTGTTGTTGAGGTGTAGTGGCTTGTGGAAAACGAGGTCTCTGTTTCTCGCTCAATGACACGTTCACTGGAGATTATGTTTTTTGAAACGTATTGCTGTAAGAAAACAACATACAAATGTCAAGTTTAGAAAATGGAATTTACAGCACATCTTCAGACATAGTTACGTACACAAGAGCACAAACTTCCTCACCCAAATACAGGCAGAAAGTGCACTAACACACTCAAGCAATTTCATGTACACATATCACATCTAAAATCAAAATAGAAGAAATAAGAAAATTAGAAAAAGGCTACATCATAATCAGGCCATAAGCAACATACATATGCAGGAAAGAAATGAGAAATCCTCAAGGACAGAGACCTAGAAAGGTAATCCACACCTGGTACCAGATGTCCGATTGACAAGACAGCAGTAGTTAATTAACAGCGGCAATTGTTCATTGAACTATAGATGTCTGGGCAAGAAATAGCTATTTTCAGAGCCAATGGTTGCAGCACAAGGAATGACTGACAGAACGACCCAAAGGCTTGTGAGATGGAGCTGGAGGCTCAGTCTCCTGAAATAAATGCCTAGAGCCCTACTGATCTCACCAGAGAGGCTGTTACTGTAGGAATCTCCATTTTCCTCAAAGTAAAATCCTTGTTTCCTCTCTCTTAAAAATCTGAGCATGGATTTAGTTTTTTTGAGGGGAAGTATTACAAGCTGTGCTCTTCTGAAAATGTGTTTTGGCCCCAGCCAAGGCTAGCAGCCTTAACAGAACCAGGAGCTTGGATAAAGGTTTAGATGCTGACTGGCTCACTCCACATTGTGCTCTGACAAAAGGCAAGGGGATATTCGTGGATTACTGACCCAAGCCACATATCCCCAGCCAGTGTATTGTCCAGATGAGAATCTCACTCAGACTGTTACACAAGAGGCTGCTTTTTTTCCTAACTCATCACCAATTTTTCCTCTTAAGCTGCTGCAGAAGTTGCCAAACTCTTTCCACTCTGTGTAAAATGCCTTTCATTGCTGTTACACTGGAGTGGAGAACTGGAGTGGGCATCACAAGTAGCACTGCTCCTTGAAAACGCACAGTGTTGAGGAGCCTGAAGTGTGAATTCACATTGTAGATGGCAGTTGCTATGGCACTGGCAAACAAGGCTGAAATGTGGGCAGTAAAACTTACATTCACCAGCTGGACATTGTCTGGTGGTGGGTTGGGGTGGTGAGGCCCATTTGCCATGTTCATCACATTGTTCCTCTCTGAGCGAAGGCTCTGCCGAAGGCGGTCATGCAACTTCTTCCTCTGCTTCCTGTACACAAAACATGGAAATGGTTTTAATACACAAAAGCAAAGCAGCTGCATCTTTCAGCACGACGACGATGATGATAACAGTAATATAAATACTCTTTCTTGCCAGAATTCTCCCCACTGCTGCAAGATTTCAGAGTCACTTCTAAGATCACAGCACTAACTGCACCTGGAGCTGTGGGGACCTGCAGCAGGGAGAGATGTGTGGGCACCTGTCCAGCAGTCAGCAGGCCACAGGGGGACAGGAAAATGTGTAAGGGAGAAAAAGGCCATTTCCGAGCCATGCCCTGTCTCAGAAGAAGCTCTTTGCTGCACTCCAAAGAGAAGGAGGAAGGATTTTAACCACATCACCTTGCCACTTGCCACGATCAGGCTTCTGACTGGTCCCTGCTACACAGGGAGCTGCCACCCTGCACAGGATAGCCTCCACATTAGGGGCCTGCCTGTGGCTGTCAGCAGTAGTGGCAAGGCGTACCAGCAGCCTGCTTTCTGCTTTCTCTTTGGCTTTGCCTTTGTTTCACAGGCAGGCTGACATGTCTAACAGTGGCAAAGTTTAAAAGCACTGCTAAGATAGGGGCTAATTTGTAATACTGCAGCTACATATTTTTTTGTGGGATTCATATCCCTACCCCAGACTTACCCCTTGCATACAGACATGTTAAAGAAGTCAAGAGTGCAGAGAAAGCCTCAGAAATAGTACCAAGTGAGTAGGTGTATGAGGTACACTTGAAACTGCAGCCATCCTGGCAGCTTCTGGAAAGTTTCATTGCAGCAACATCAGATTAACTGTAGAACTTAGTGATTACCAGGCAGATGTGAGGGTTGTTAATTCATTCAAGAGAACCATCAGTATTTTCTGCTTAGATCTTGGCCTTTGGCTGATTCAGACTCCTATTGTGCTTTATTTTCAGCTGCTCCTTCCCTAGTTGCTGATCTTCTGAGCACTCCTCAAAAGAACTTTTCAGGACACTGCTGTGAGCTGACAGCAACAAAACTTGCAGCATACTAAAACCTGGTGCTATGAAGGCTACACAGAATGCACTAAACACCAAAATAAATGATCAGGGAGAGTGTTATTCAATTTCAAGCTTAATTTGTTCCCAGTTTTGCTGGAGAACTTCCACCATCCTGCCACAGAATCCAGGAAAGTGAAGGAAAGGATGCAAGCTGCAACACACTGCAGAGCGCATATGACCTTGGCTATGGTAAGAGCTGAAATACTCTCAATTCCCTAAGTCCCCTGAGTTGGTAGATAAAGTGAGTTTTTGAGAGATCTTCATTTCAGTGTCTATGGGGTTGATATCCTGGCACTTACTGCTTTGGAATCTACCCCTGTAATGTATCCACATTACTTCCCAACTTCAGTGATCATTGTATTTTCATTTTGTGGACTTCCATGTGTGCCATTTGTCCTCTAGTAAAAGAATACTAGCTAAAAAAACATATTCCTCCAGGAAACTGAGGGGAAAGAACAACGAGAATGCTAATATGTGCTTCACTAATTCTGAAGAGCCTTTCCTAATGCAAATGACTTGCAAACAAAGCTTTTCTGAATTGAGACTCAGTGCCAGAATATGTTGCCTTAGCGTTTGACCAATAGTATCTCCTGCAAGGAGACCTACAAAATTGAAGCCATTTAATTTTATTTGATATGTTTTCCTGACACCATCCCAGAATTTCCACTAGGTTTTTGTCTACCAGGAAGAAATGGCCTGTGGGGGATATCTAACTGATAGCAATCTGGTATCAGCAATACACTTGGAGGGCCATGAATGGCAACTCACTTTCATTCTAACTAGTTGTCTTTGAAAACACTTCAATTTTGGCTAGCAGTGATTGCTGATATCTAGGACTGACTGTGACACAGCATCCACTATGGGAGTATTTTGTATAGAAAACTGTACCCGATTAAATGTTTATTTAAAGTCATGGAGATGCCTTAGCTGATTTCAATGAACTTTGGACTGCAAAATATTTTGTTTAGCTACCCTGGTGTGGCTGTTGCCATTTCTAAAATGAGTAATTGATCTGATTCTTTATTTATGTTCAGTGGTTCTCAGTTCCCAGCTGACCATTGGTGAAAAGGTTGTGGGTAGATGCTGCATGTGTGTAGCTGCACTCATTGAAGGGGTAAATGATCTCCCCCACCCCAGGCTTTTAACACATTCATTATTGGTAGACCTTGCAAGGAAAACAACAACCCAGTTACTAGTCAGGCCTTGTAACAGTAAATCTACATGCTTATACAAATGATAAGGGTTTTCTGTGTTTTGGTGTGAAGATTTATAAGGACAACCAGAAGATTTGGCAGCACAAATCCTGCTGATTTTTAGTATAATTTATGGTCCACAATTTCTTGTGCATGTTCAGGAATCACCCCCAGTAATTTACAGAGACTCAAGGAATGCATTAAAGCATCTACTTTTTCACTGGGAACACTTTCACACTTGGTTCTTTGGCCTTTGCTGTTTAGTAACTCCTAGCACTGTTAATCTTGTTCTTGAGTATAAACAAACTAGGCTGATCTTTAAAATTTACTACTGGCTAGCAACATGATTCCACTGTTGGAGTTTGCTCCCATCCAGGCAGGAATAAACATGAGTGTGTGATAAATGCATTACAAGTTGATGAGTCAGACATGAATGATGAGAGATCTTTCAGATACCTGTCTTATTTTTGCATTGCTGATTGACATGGAGAGCTGAACCCTCCTTGTTTGAACCACAGATCCTGATCAGTGGGCTGTCTCTTCAGTTCAACTCTGGAAAAGCCCTGTTAAAACCTTATGCTTAGAGAAGTAGAAGCTACAGAGAAGTCAACAGAGAAGCCCTGATCAACAACCATAGATATAAAAAAGAAAAGTTTACTTGGTTTTGCAGTAGGCCACCACACACATGATGCCAACTACTAGAAGAGCAATGCAAATGCCAGTTATGGTCAGCACCCGTTTCTGGTACAGTTCCTCAGCTTCTAGAAAGGGACAAAAACAGAGAAGATCACAACATGGAGGATGGCTTGGCAAGGAACACATTATCAACAGCTGACATGCTACATACCACTGCAAAGATTCACACAGCCACACCAAAATCTACCACACTTCAGGCATACTCATTAAACTGCAAGGTGAACAGGACTACACTGTAAGCTCTTACACAATATGAGGGATGACTGATCATCCATAAAATTACAGTCAAAAGTAATCTCTTTTTGATTAAGTCAACAAGAATAATATATAAGAGAAAACATCACAGTTGACAAACACTCAGCATTTGCTGGAATTAAGAATGCAACACACTAATGTAATAACATAAATCTGCAAATGCTTAGGAAGTTTTGCTCTGCAAAGACAGCTGAAATGAAGGCCAGTTTTATAGACCTTTTAGATAAATTTATTTTCCTGCTATCTTTTTTGGACTGCTTTCATAACCAATGTCCCTCTGCCCCCCTGCCACCTGATATCTCAGTTGTCTTTGCAGGAGAGATTTCAAAATATCTTTCTACATTTGAGACTTGAGCTTGGCTTGTAATCATATTACCATTGGAAATGAATAAATATTTTGAGCTCTGGTCATAAGTTTCTCCCATGCCCCTCAAAAAACAGCAGTATCAGGAACAAAATGTGTCTTGTATCAGAGAAATGTTGCATTTTAACTTGTATCTCCTCATGGCTAGCTAACGAGCTGCTCTATCTAGAGTGGCAACTTGCTTAGAGATGAGAGCTTCTTGCTGATCTCATTCATGAGACATATTTTACTATTATAAAGATGTTAGTAGCACCAGTAATGTTTGGATTGGATCTACTCTTGCATTCCAGCCTTGATCACTCTTGGCAGAGAGCATCAGTGCGTATTGTACAGGGGAAACATTACATAAGAAGTTCTGAAATGGAGACACGCATTCTGTGTTGACACAAGAGACAGCTTTTATGAATGCAAATTTGCATTCCTGTTTTTAGCAGAAAATTGTGCATCTCGCTTGGGTTTTTCTCAAATCTTATTTTTGACAGTCCCAAAAACCTGCCCTGGAAAATTTGGTCTGGCATTAGGTCAGACTGCAGCACTGACCACACTTAGAACACCAACAGGTGATCACAAATAAATGAACGAACAAAAGCTGCACAGTTTCACACTACTATGGGGATAAAAATCAATATTACTCCTACCCAGAGGGACTTAACAAGAACATAAAAGATCTGTGGGACAATTCACCAGGTGCTACAAAGAAGTACCTCTACATGCTGGTCCCTCACACATACTGTGAGTCTCTGTCCAAGCTCAGCATCTCCTAAATGCTGACCTGAAAAAAGCTTAAAGGAGTTTGGGAGATAAAATTATATTAGGGAATATAATACTTCATCTCAGAAATGCAAAATGTACTAGCAAAAGAAGGTACTTCTCCTGTCAGCTTAGGAGAAAACCCTCCTCACTGTGGAGGGAATATTCATTCTACCAGAGAGCATCCTGTCCTTATTTAGTTCAGTTTAAAAATTGTAGGCACAAAGGTGCAAAGAGCTCAAGACTGGGATTTATGACAGCTTATAGGATCACATCTATTTTCCTTTCTGGGAAAGAAAGGAGGTCAGGGTGCTGCGACTCTGAGAAGGAGAAGCAAGGGATTAAAATCCTGGAATTTGTGTGGAGTTTTGGATAACAAAGGTGATTGCCATCTATCCTAACTGCTAAGAAGGCAGTGAGATTGCTGAAGCTTTTATTTCAGAGATGTGGTTTCAGTCACTGTAATTAACTTATCTAAAATAACTTAATTAATTTAATAAATGTTGTGGCCAACTGTTGATGCATGGCTGGGTGCCAGCACAGATACTACCCAACATTCAGAGCTGAGATTTTCAAAAGATCAGCTGAATGTCAGCCTTCCAAGATTTTCCAGTCTCAAAGCAGCTACTCACTGCTGAGATTCAGGACAGATGGCAAATTTTCCATGCAACAAATCACCAAGTGAGAAGAAATCTTCATTTCTCTGATACAATACATCTTCCCATAGAAATAGTTCTTCCTACAAGCCAAACCCACTGTAGACCAAAACACCAGCAAACAGGTCATGAGCACTGTCAGACAAAATTAATAGCATTGATTATTAACAAGGGAATGGGGAGAAGAAGTGAGTTTGGTAAAACTAGGATGCTGCAAAAATGTATTAAAGAAAAAAGATAATAACTCCGAGAAAGTAAAAAAAGGGAGGGAGGAAAAGTCTGAATATCCAAATCAAATGAGGACAAAAAGAGGAAGGGGAAAAACAGGGAAAGACAAGGTTAAAGGGTTGAGAAATCAACTGCAGGCCTGGCACAGCATGCTTGATACTGGAAAAAAGAGTGAAGAAATGCTCAGGGACGAAAAAAAAAAAGGCTGAAGCAGAGTCTGAAGGGATTTCTCATACAGCATAACTCCTCACCTAGGCTAGTTAGTGGCACTCGATCCCCTTCCCATTTATGCCCCTTTTGAAAGCGCTTATTAGTTAGCCATGGAAATGGTGTATTACAAGAATGTCACAGGAAACAGGAGAATTGCATTAAGCAATTTAGGGGCAAATATGAAATGCTTTGAAGCTACTTTTTCTTTTCTTTTCCTTTTTTTTTTTTTTTTGGTCATGCTGTCAGCCGTTAGCTTGTGAAAGCAAAATGAATAAATACATTTCAACCCATTTTCCTTTGATGGGAAGGGAGAGGAGGAAGATTAAGTAAACAGTGGAAAGTCTGCTTGGTTGTTTATACTGGGGATAAACTGCACTGACTCAGGAGAGTTGCTGCAAGCAAAGGCTGTTGCAAACAAGCTGGTGATCACTTTGCTAATGCTGTCAGTGGGCTGAGGCTTGCTAAATGTGTGAACTCTCCTGGGCTTGCATGGAAGGAGGGTGCAGTGAGGGAACCAGGCTGTGGGTAAAGCTGTGAGTGATGCTTCTTGTACCGCCACATCTGCGGGTTTGTGGGTTTCTGAGGACCTGCTTTCAAGGGCCAAATCCCACACCTGTAAGAGCTAGGACAACCTAGCCAAGTGGGATACACATGAGCAGCTCTGCTGCCATGCACTTCCCAAAATGGGAGGAGAAGCAGATCTCCAGAAAGTCTGGCAGACCTTGGTCTTCCCCAAGCATTCCTGAATGTCTGTAGCAGTGGCACCCACAGCCCAGAGGCCTGAGTAGGTCTCTTGAATTATTATACGACTCCATGGTTATAAGACCTGAAGATATTAAGTTCCTCTATGTGCAGCCCTTCAAACATACTCATTATGTAACTAATTTTACTTCACCCTAATTTATATATAATTGATAATGTCTTAAATTTGCTATATTTTAAAACTTTTCCAGGTCTCTAGTGTTGGTTTTCTTTTTTGTTTTAATTTTTAAAGAATTCGGTTCCAAGAGATGGTTCCACTGATACTGAAAACAAGGTTTGCAAGTTAGTTTTTTTTTTAAAAGGATTTTAATGTAATTTCTCATATGTTAATGTAGCCTTGTGTCTTCCAATACAGTTTAGTATTTATGACTTAGAATTAATATTATCTTGTGATAATAATAATAAACAGGGTTGTGAGAGATTGTTTAAATTTAGATTTGTTATGGTTTCTCCATAGTTCACAGCTAAAGCTAATGACATTTTATGTGGACATTGTTAATAAGAATATGAATTAAAACTGTATGAATACTCTCAATGCTTAGTTCTTCTCACTTGCCCAATAGTTTTAGGAGACTCCATGCTAAACTTGACTGAATTCCAAGAGTTAAAAGAGTTAAAGAGATGCATTATTCACATTCCTGATCACTAAATGTTAGTGGCGTAAGTACAGTCTCTTCATGAAGAGGGCCTGTTTTTATTCTCTTTAAGGTGTATCACAATAATATTACCCACTGCCAAAGTTCTTGGTTTGGTGCAATTGTTGATTTTGTTATAAATAATACTGAACATATCTGCCAATTTCAGCATCTGCTTACCTCCTGCAAACCTTCGTTTAATCTCCTAAATAACTTCCAGTTCAGTGCTCATTTACTGACCTAGAAATATATGTATACATGCATATCATTCACACCTGTGTATATACATCCTATTTACATACCTAATAGTGTGTTTACACATAAAACTTTGCTTGGAAATCAGAGCTCAAAGCTGAAAATTTGCAGAAATTTAAGTGCCTATAACAGTACATCCTTTTTTATAGACTACTTAGTCACTTTGCTTAATGCTTTCAGTGTTTCTGAAATCAGGCAACTGTAGAACTCAGGAAAAGTAAATATCACAACCAGTCAAAATTACATTGCAGAAAAATGAACATACACTATGCCAAAATTACTTGAGTAATTCCAGGATCTCCTTAGATCTGGAATATCCTATTACTATTACAATTTTAGTGAACTGACCTCTAACATATCTAACATTTTGATAAGGGCTGTTGTTATAGCTGTATGATCCCTTCTAAAGCATAAAGAAATTGGTTAAGAATTGAAAAGGGGAGGTGGAGGGAAAAAAAAAAAAACAACAACAAAACAGGTTTTATCTCTCAGGCTCTAAAATCTGCAGGCTATAAGGAATGATTGGTCCATACCCATAAATTCAATCCCAAGATGCTCTGCCAATGCAGAAAGTTGACAAAAAAAAAAGAAAGAAAAAGGAAAATGTTTCAGAAAAGAGCAATACACTGTACTCAAAAAACAAATCACATATTAGTAATATGGCTTTTCTGTGTCTGCATATGAAACAGGACAAAGGGGCATGTGGTCAAATGAGCAGTGCTTGTGAGCCCCTGTGAGCTATGTGACCAGAGCTTCAGTAAGGATTACACGCCAAAACACGTATAGGGTATCTGAGCAGCCACAGTGTAGTGAACACAATGGGAACCATTAACCCTTAAGGATTTTACTGAGATGAAGGGAGCTGTTGCTCGAGAATGCCATGTGAAATGGCTGGATGTTTTCAGATGGGAGCATTAGGGCACAGGTTGGCTTGCAAAGAGCAGTGTTCCCTGGCAGATGGGCTGTGTGCAGCCTCAGTCCCTGCTCTCGTCCCTCTTGTGTGGTTCCTTGCTCTTGTCAGTCGCTGCCCTGAGGTGTCTGGGACCACTTGCTAGGAAGCAGGATCCCTTCTCAGCATTGCAAACTGACTTCAGCAGGGCTCTTATCTCTGGAAGAAAAGGAACTGGTCCTTTTTCCTTGCCTTCATCACAATAACCCATTGGCTGGCTGCATGTCACAAAGGGTGCAGGGGCTATTGCAGTTTTCACCAGATCACCTGCCAAAATTAGCACTCCCATGTCCTGGTACCTCCGTCCTCCGTGTGCTCTAGGAGATCCTTCCCATGGGTCATAGCTCCATAACCATAGCAGTTCTCATTTACTTTGTCTTTGAATGTGGTGCAATTTAAATTCAATCCTAATTATCTGATCAAATGGATTTTTGTATACATCAAGAATGCCAATTCTTTCCTGCCAATCAGTAATATTTTAAGGGTTAAGTATGCTGGAATCCACCCAAGTCTCTTCCTAAAGAGCCATTTTTACATGCCTACATGAACACTGCTAATGATATACATTAGTTACATAGAAAGCTTGGTTAAGTCTTTGATAAAATGAGTGACATGCCCATGCATATATATTGCCGTATTTATGCTTACTTATATATAAAATTCCTTGCCTGGATGTAATTTAATTTGGGGGGAAGTCATTCATATCATGCAGTTTCCATTTGAAATAATTCAACGGGAAATTGGTACTTAGAATGGGAATATATTCTGGCTGAAAGCCCTAATGAGAAAACATGCTGAAGAAACATGCATCACTTATTCAAACCTAGATATAAAATAGCTCTTAGTTATCTTTTTTATCCCTAGCTACATTGCCTAGACATGATTAAAAGAAAGCAGAATATCCCAGCAGTTCTTGTTTTATAAACAGGTCATCAGTTTTGATCTTTTCCTATTTAAATCAATATTGCTACATATTTATTAGACACAATGTGTTTTTTATCCACTATTTGTCCATGTAAGCCAAAATGAAATGCAATTAATTATTTTAAGTAATTGTTTTTTATTTCAGATGTGATTTTTGGTGGAGCAGAATTGGAAGGAATAAAGCTTGGAATGCAGGTTTTTCCAATTAAGTGACTTACTACTGCTGCTCACTGGATATACTGGTGTCCAGTGCCTGCAGAATATGATGCCAGGAAATGCTGCTGCAGTATACAGTTTTTCTACAACTGCATGCTGCATTTATGGCAGCAGTACCACAGTAAGTAGGCAGTCATGATTTTGGAGAGGCTGTCCCACAGAATTAGGAGCTTGGTAGCCTTGGACATAGGGAGGGCTGCATGAAAGCATTGCACCTGACAATGGGACCAGACCATTTGGATCAACTTCACGTAGCTGCAGAGTTATGAGAAATATTGAACTCGCAGAATGGCAGAAAAATGGACTTAGGAAGATCTGTAGTTAATCTGTAAGAAGATCTGTAGCCTTATTCCTCCTTTAATTTCTCAGCCAAACACATCCTGAGAATATGTAGCAGAGTTGTCTAAAAGAAATTTTCCACTGACCCTCTTGAGACCGCCCTCTTGCTCACTTAACATGGCAGATCTGAAATGATCACAAATTAAACTGGTGTCTTATGTTGAAATGCTGCCTTCAGGAGTACAGGGACTACATTCAGTTAACTCTTGAGAGTGCCTGTACTATATGCAAGTTGTTCTATGTCCACAATACATGTAGAAATATTAGCAAATGAAGAAACAAGCCACCAAGACCTTTGAACGAGATCCTTGGCCCATCTCAGTTGTTCAAAAGGACAAATAGTGTACCTGTGATTATGCTTTAAAGAAGTGCTTCAGCTTTTTATTTATTCAAGGTTCTGCTTTGTTTCTTAGTCCAAGGATTGTTCTGCATTAAGAGTTGGTATAAGAGCTACAGAAAAAGTAGCCTGAACTTTTGAGACTAATTATTACTTCTGTTCTCCTACACTTACTTTACCTCCTTGTCCTCAATCAAGTGAATGTGAGAACACTAAAACACAGCAATCTACATGGAACAGGTATTTCTGTAACACTTCCGTGGGCCATCTTCTTATATTTTACAGAACCTTGGTGGCCCATGAATCTTCAAGTCAAAACCACTGCTGCAAAAAGCCTTCTGGTGTTCTGGTATCTTCTGACATTTCTGAGTGCGGCACAAACTGGCCAACAGTCTTAAGTCTTTGAAACTTACCACCTACTATGTGTCGCTCACATATGCCCTTCCTCATTGGAAAAGCTTTTGGGGAAAATACCTGGTAGAAAGTGCAACTACTGTGCTCAAGGAAAGGATGTTAAAGGATGTAAAAAGACAAGCTTCCACGATGAGAAAAACTAGGACCGCTTGCTCTTGATTTTCCTTTTGTTTGCCGTGGTGGGAAGTATCAGGGGAGCAACTGTATAGCTGCAGTGCTGAAGATGACTGTGTCAGTGAGGACCCTAACAGCCATCACTTCTTGGCTGTAACAGGATGTCCTAGTTTTGCAAAGCTGGAAGCTAAGGTACAGTCAATATACACATGTGCCTTTCAGCAGTCTCCATCACTTAAGCTGTGCTTAAATTTCCACTGTCAAAAAGGAAAGTCATTTCTATTGGGGAAGTTTTCTTAAAAGGGAGGTCCAGCTAATATCCTGTATTTCTTTTTGGCCTCTTTTTAGTGCACCATGATAACTACCTACTCAAGGGCTAAGGAAATCACTGACAAGATAAACCACTGAGTTTTACATCCTCTTGGGGCTGGGGATTTTCAAAATGTTGAGCATCAGCTCAGTTCTGATCTTGCAAAAGGCCTTCTGCAAATAACTTTAGGACTCTTCAGGATTCTATAACAGACTTCGGAAGCTAGCTTATTCTCAACAGCCTTAAGTTAGTGAGAGTTCAACAGCAGGCATACTTGACATGGAAACAACTTCTTTCTAAATAAAAAGAAGATCCTTCTGAAATCAATAATGGCTAATGACTTTATAGTTGACATACACATTTTTGTTTCCTCCTGGCCCCGATTTGCTCTGCAATTTGCAAAAACTGCATCAACAGAGCTAAACTGAATCAGTAACCTGCAACACTTGCAGGTGCAAAATATGAGAGCCTGCTTTTTAGCTCCAACTTTCGCCTGAAGAGAACTTCCAATAAAAGCTCCCCTTACATTACATACTATGTATTACATTCTTGCACTTCTGCATTGGGTGCAACAGTAAGAATGCTTCCTCACTGATCTTTTTCTGGTTAAATATGTGTCCTCACTAGATACTACCCAAAAATGTCATTTTAAGATGTAGCGACTTAAGAAATCTGAAGTTATAATGCAGATGCAGTGCAGACTTCAGTGCCAGAGTCCGACAGTAATTGCCTGAAGTTCTAAGACTATTATGGGATATGTATTTGCATGCTCTTTTGCCAGTGCATTTCAAGGAAAGTTGTACTGGACTGGCTTACATACATACACTCCTGCTGCAAGGCAAGGGCATCTATGCCTTTATCATGTAGGCAACTTCAGAAAATCTCAGGTTGGTGTCAGCTACCCAAAGATGCCTTTAAAAATCCCCATCAGTTTTAGGAATCTGAAAAACTAAGGAGCATGGAAAATACATCTCTCTCTCTCTCTCTCTCTCTCACACACACACACACACACACACACACACACACTTTTCTAGGTAGGAAATAAGGCTACCATATAGTTCTTCCACATTTTTCAGGGCAAATTCAACAAATAATGGATCTTATATTGCATCTCTTTTTAAATGGTTCTTCTACAATGAGAAAAATTTAACTGTACTTTTCATTGCAATACACAGAAAAGGCCATTTAAATCTAACACTTAGTAAACTTAAACACTGCAATAGCATAAAAATTCTTAAATCCATAGTTTCCAGAGATATTTTAAAAATAACTCACACTAATAAAGCATTTAAAGCTGAGGGATAAAATACAGACTTTGATGTTAGAAGGTCGGGTCTCCAGTCAGTGCCCATGGGATTTACATGGGTAGCTTCCATGATGGGTAGTATGAATTATGAATGGACATTTTTCATCCATCAGTATAAGAGAAAACCTATGCATCTCTTCAGGCTCCAAAATGTCCAGCATCTGCTAACAGCTCTTAGTTCTATGTACTAATGGAAATTAAATTACCTATAGTCTTTGAAATCTTTCCATGCTGGCATGCAATCTATAAAAAATATTTCTTAAAATAGTGATCTTAGATCATAGTACATTCTGATGCCAATGACAATTAATTATAAAAAGTACTCATGCATTAAAATGTAGGATCTAGGCAATTTTCTTACATGTTACCTTTGACTTCGTTATAGACAATAAGAGAACAAATGTTCAGTGTACTTTCTGTTTCCTCACTGGCAATTAATAACGATTAATCCATTCTTCCATGGGAAAACTTCTAAGATATGACTGCAGTGCTACCAGTGGTCTGATACAGACTCATCTGTGAGTGTGTGTGCTACACTTATTTAGCCAATTAATCTGTCTCTGAAATACTCAATCTCCTGCACCTGTTACCCGCAAATAAATACGTCAGTTCCCGTTGTTTATGCCATCTCTCCCCCTTTTCTTCTTCCTTCTGTGCTCTCTTTGCCCCGAAATTTGGACAATGAGAAGAAAGAGCACTTTGATCCTGTTCAGAATGTGCTTCTTAGAAATGATGTAAGCATATCAATTACCTTTAAATTATTGTTCTGAATATAAAACTCATATGTAAGTAGCTCATTTACCTACCCCTTTATTGAGTGAGTACTGCTCTATATAAAGTTTCATATATAGAATTTTATATTTGTGGCAAATAAAATGACTTTCAATATGTCATTTTGCACTTCATCTGCTTGATGTCAGTGGGATGTATACACCAAACCATTCCGTGTTAATTTCACAGTGTTCCTTATTTTGCATTTCCCCATAACCTCAATGCCAAACAATCCAGGAGAGTACTGCAATTGCTTTTCGTTACCATGTTCATGCAGCAAGCAGAGACGATCAATATTAGGCCTTAGGCAACAAATCTAGTTAAGGATTAAAAAAAAAAAATTGGAGGAAAGATGCAGCGACAAGAAAGCAGCACCGACTGAGCATGCGTCTACTGCGGCACAGACAGAAAGGTAGTGGACGTACTGTAGAAGCTGGCCATTACGTAGTTTTGGCAGCGATCACCAGTAAATTCATTTGGGCACCTGAGAGGAAAAACAAACAAAAAAAAAATGGTAGAGAAAAAAACAGAGAAAAGAGAAGAGGTGAATATATGCTAAGAAAGAAGCTCCGTCAGTGTGAACTGATACGACTTGGTGAGTTCACTTTCAGAAACCGTATCTCGGTTTAGCGTGTTAAAATGGCTCAAGATGTTGAGAGCAACTCATTTGCTCTGCAGAAATGAAACAGAAATCCCCCCCGAGAAAAAAAAAAAAAAGCCAAAACCAAACCAATCCAGATCAAAGTGTATTTCGAGATGTGAGAGAGAAATTCACCACTTCAAATTCCCAAATTGCTTTTAGGATGCACTTTCCACAAGGCAGCGAGGACACAAGATCTGTACATCACTCATCTCCGTGAGTTTGTTCTTTTAGAGTAGCACTTTACAGCAGTCTCCCAAACAAGAAAGCTGCCAGTGTGTGCAATACAAATGCATCTGCAAATGAATGGAAAGATCAAAAACCACATAAATGAGAAACATTTTGGAGATCAATAATGCCATGGTGTACAGATTTTACTTTAGAAAATCAGGTCATAAATTAGTGCGTAAAGAGGCCGGTTCCAGCTGAACTGTGAAAACACCAAGTACTATTGATTTTGTTGCTGTAGTTGGGGAAGAAAGCAAAGTTCAGATTATTTTAACATACTTTCTTGGTTTTGGATTTTCATGGGCAGAGTTTCAGTACATCTTGCTCCAGTGAATCCAGGTTGGCACCTAAAGGGCAAAAATGTGATAAGCAATAGTACACCAAAAGCACTGCACTAACAGACTGACATCTGCTGGCCTACGGAGACGGTAGAGCACTACTAAGTGACCTCCTGGTTAGGTGTTAGTGAATAATGATCAGAAAAGGGAAAAGAAGGAGTAATCTTTCCGAAGACAATACTTCACAAAATTCAGAGTAAAAATCCACCACAGAAAATCACAGGAAGTCTTTTTGTTTGTTTCAAAAGAGAAGGAAGAATTAGGCCTAGCAGAAGTGTTTGTCATTCACTGTTTATTCCACCTCATGAAGGGATCAGATATTTTAAAATTTCCAATGCAGTGTACAGTGGCAATTTACACTGTTGCAGTCGCACAGAATCTATGAAAATACTATGATTTCCCTATTTCTGTAATGAGATGTTGTGTCTTCGAGTAGTTTCCTTAAAAGGAGACTGGATAAAACAGCAATCATGAGAAGCAAAAAAAAAGAAAAAGAAAAAAAAAGGGAGGAGAACCTGAAACCCAAAGGCAAAAGTATTTTTAACATGGCTGATATATGTAGAATGAGTCAGTCTGGTCAGAAAATCTGGAGCTCCACAGCTGCCCACCCTTTCAGTTCATTTGGTCTTCTGTGGAAGACTTCACTGCAGGTGAAGTCTATAAAGAATGAATTTATCTTCAGTATTTTTTTAATCTTTCCTTCTGCTAACAGCTGTCAATTCTTACTTCACCTTTCTTTATTCTTGATTCTGTGGTGGCGCTCAGCAGTTTTCCTTCAAAATATTAGCATACCAATCCAAGCTACTGCACTTTTTATATAAATCTGAATGACTCTCCACCACATTAAACACATAAGAACTTCAGTCTTCCTCCTTTCCTCTTCAATGCACTTTTACTTTGTGTATAGTCTTAATTGATCCGCTACCTACTTCTTCGAATCCATCTCAACTTGTGTTGTCCATCTTTCTGAGAATCTCCATGAGTTTTGCCATGGTGCAAGAATCTTCTTCTGTTGCTGCTGATCAGCTGCTAGCTTCCATTTCAAGCTACCTCATCATTTACTTTCCAGGGGCCTCTTATTTGCAAATGAAAGTTGTTCAGAATGATCCTTTGCCTCTTCCATCCATCAGATCTTCCTGTCCACTGAGGGCAGGCTTATTTTTTTAGGTTTATCTTCAACAGTTTCCTCTAGTCCTAAGAGTCAAGATATTGTACAGATAGGACTCCAGAAAAGCACTATGGCAGGTGATCAGTGTCAGGCATTATCACTAGTTTCTTGTTCAATAAGCAATGCAGGAATAACCTTGGTATGATTAAAAAAATTGGAGATCTGTAGATGATTATTTGGAGATGATTCGCTGTAATGATACACTGGTTTATTAAGGAAGGACATTTATTATCCTCAGAGCCAAGATCTTCTTATAAGCATTCAGTATAGAGAGATCCAAGTCTCCACAGATGTATTCAGATGAGAAAAATGCAACAAAGGTAATTCTATCATGAGAAATAAATACTGCTGGGCACAACGAAAGACTACATTTTGATCTGTGTTACTGAAAAAGAGTGAAAACGTTCTATCACCTTAATTTCCATTATTTTATTTTGCACATTTAATTCAATACTTGTCCTTGATAGCTGGCATTCGCACATAAATTGACATTTATTTCAAAGTGACATCTCCATCTTCTTCTCCAGGCCCAACCCTACAAAACTCCCATGAACATGCAGCTGATTAAAAAATCTCAAGATTACTTCTGGCCGCTAGCTGGGTTTGTTTTTGGGCCTGTATCAAGCTACTGAGACTGCTGATTTATGGTAAAAGGGGGTGGTGACGCAAGTAGATTAAAATAATTTTTCTTTTCCTCTATATTAAGCATTTAAAAGGAATACATCAAACACATTTCATCAGCGTTTTTCTGGCAGGAGGGTAAAGGCTAAATGGGTCAGAACTTAGTGTTTCTGTTTCAATGACTGCCTATAAGCAAATGCACAGTAGGAATGTGGTTTTTCAAGTTGCATTTAGTAGTCTGTTTCATAGTTTATATCAAAACTAGTATTTCCATTGTATTTTTAAATGAGTGACTTCAGAATTTTTGTTAGCATCATTGAAACAATTTTTCTCTTTTTGCATTTTCAAGAACTTCATGTCAACTCCATCAAAGCCTTTGCATGAATATGAGTACAGCAATCAGCTACATCATGAACAAACACGTAATGTACTCTTTTGCTGTTAAGACATACAGCAGCATTATCACGAAACATTATTTTCATCCAGTGAAATCAGGAAGTAAATTAATTTCTTCATCAATAGAAAAAGCAGTAGAAAAGATGATCTCTGCTAGTAAGGAATCAATTAGTCAGACCAGCGAGGACTTCATGGGAGAAATCTTCAAAAGAACACCCTGAAGGCGTAACCAATAGTATATTCATATATGTTTTTCTTCAGATAAGAAGTAAATGCTGGGAACTCTGCTCTTAATTTTACATTTACAGAAGAAGCCGTCTCATTGTTTGTCCTCAGAAGACTTGAGGACACACTTCCAGCTGGACAGTAACAATGAAAGAACCTCAGCAACACCTGTAACATTCAGGCTTCCAAGTCTGAACCATTTTCAAAACGTGACTTGTGTTCCTACGAAGCTTCTGAAAGTTTTATACATTAATAAGCCTCAAAGCTTACTTTATCATATTTCATATTTTGGGATTGCTTTGTTCAGCCTGGGATCATAATGTTAATAAATATAGGAAACATTTGTAACCAGAGATGTAGCTGTATAAAGCATTATTAAGTCTCTACACATTTATTATTTCACCTAGCTATCTCTTAAATGCGTTGAATTTCCTTGAAGCTCACATCAGTATCATCCATGAGATCAGATCTAATTCATCCTGGATCACTGTACGCATATTTTACTACAGGTATTTTTTGAATACATAGGTGTAGACTCTAGGACAAGTAGGACTTAGGATGTCCATTTTTTAAAAATAGAATAGAAAAGTTTACAAAACCAGAGATATCACTTGGAAAATTCCGTGGTTGTTGTGATTCTGAGTCATGTTTTTTTGGTTAGGGATAAAACCAATTTAGAATGATATGGCTCATGCTTTAGAAATTTTGTTTTTGCTCTCAACAGATGGACCATATGGAAAAATGTGAACTTGCTACTGAGGCAGAAATATGAAGAGCAAGTACCATATTTCAAGCATTCTGTTTCCACAGGCATGTTCTGAGGGAAGATTTATTTTCTCAGGACAATGAAGGCAATGTGTACTGGACAGATACTTATTTTAATTAACACTGGAATACTGGAATTAAAAGTAGACATCTGTATTTTCAGTGAAACAAGAAGAGAACCGTATTTCGTCTCTTCAGTTTCCCAGTACTCCCACTTTCAAATACTCACACTTTCATTTCTTGTATTGCAGCATTGCATCCTGTTTCGCTACGCAACATAAAGTTCAAGTTCTGGCAATTATTAGAGGGCATAGCAAAATGCCAGCAAAATAGCAGTGGCCCTGACTGTCCTCAGGATAAGAATCTTATTCCACTGTTTTACTATAAATGAGATTCACCCCTTCTGATTTTACAGCTCTGATGCTTTTTCCAAATAGGCCTTGGGCCACCCAGAGAGAGGCACATCTGCCAAATTTAGGAATTGCCTTTTCTTTCAACTCCAAACCCAGAATTAAGGCTTATTTCTTGTGTACAACAGGGAGAAAATCCTCTCTCCACTGAAATGCCTCTAAGACATTATTTGAGAAAAATTTAGCCAACCTATATCACATAACAAACACAGACAGATCTCTGAATATATATGAAGAAGAAAAACAAGACACCAAAAAACTTTCCCAAACGTCTGAAAATTGTATAGCTCTGAAACTGTCAAGATAATGCTAATTAGTAGCAAATCTGGTAGATGTTGAGCTCTGCTGCCCTGGATTTTCTTGAGTGGTATCAATACAGAAAGTAGAAATAAACAGGTAGGCTCTAGTACATACCCAGAAGAGCCACATCATCTTGTTCTGTTGATGTAACATGATCAAGAGTACATCAACGCGACCTTTTTTTCTCTCTGCTATCCAGCCCACCAGAGCCAGAAACTGTTCCATATTCACTTTAGCTAAAAACTATTCTAAAATCAATGAATCATAGAATCATAGAATCATAGAATGAATGAAATATTCATCACTTTCAGCAATGGTGCAATCCGTGAAACCCAAAACAAAACAAAGCTCATAAGGTCCAGAAAACATCAATCTATAAAACAAACGAAAACTTACATGTGAAGCAAACATTGTGGATTATTATTATTTTTCAAATTAACAACAGTGCCATTCAACCTATGCCTTTCTCATCTAATGAAAGCATCATAGACTTCTGGTAACTCACCCATCGAAACCTTCTTTCCAAATATTGTCATTTGATTTTTAGTCAAAGATATCTGCAATTCTGTGCAGTTACAGCAGACAACAGATTCTACTGAAAGCTGTCTCTTGTCTGTCTGAAAGGCTGCAATATCTTTACAAAAGTGCCCACTTTCCAGTCAGTCCTGATAGACCTAAGGTATTAAATGCTGATTTCCCTCTGAAGTCAGAGAGAAGCAGTAACTTGCTAAGACTGATTTATCTCCACAAGTAAATGCTACATGATGTGCTACCGGGCAGGAAGTGTACTCCAGCACTGTACTTCTCAATAGAATCTTTCCAAATTAATGGATACTGCAACAGCCTTTTGCAGAGTAGGCTAGGCCTTGAGAAGAAATGCACAAGCACATAAAGCTTACGTTCCTAAGCTTTCTTGAATCAAAATCCACACATGAAGTAGTAACCTCCACAAACTGCTGTAACATTCTTTTCTTTCTATGCATTTGACACAACAGTGAAAACTCCAATTGAGAATACATTCTCATCAGAAAATGTTCAGTTATTATAGCAGACAATAAACATAAATCACCATTAGTCCTGTAGAAAGGGTACTTATGTGATGCAGTTCTCAATGCATATTTTTTGACTTTGTAGTGTATTTAGTTTACAGCATCTTTTCATTATATCTAACGTTACAGCTTAAATTGTGCCATTTCATGCCAGGTATACACCAATAAGGTTTGCTGTGCCTTTTAATCCACGGAAAGATTACTTGGTTAGCCTCTCACATGCCTCATATCCAGATACTCAGGATGAAGAAATACCTCATGAAACAAGTCTAAGAGAAGAAATTTTTCAGGTGCACCTTTAAAGAAAAAGTATTTATAGAACCTGAAGGCTCCACCAAAATAAGAAAACAGGATTTCTTACCTGCATAAGTATCGTGGAGGGTTTGGGAGGTCTTTAACCATGTAACACTCTCCTCCATTTACACAGAAGGCTTTCTGCTTTATGTCACATTTTGTGAGATGACTTGTCCCGGTTGTAGATGTGGAAGTGGCTGGAAAAGACAAGAGAGAAAATACAGATCAGAATGGCTAAAACTTTCCTACTGTCTGGTAAGTATATTTGTACATGAGGGAAGAGGTAAGTCCAGTGTGGATCTGACATGTCAGTGAACTCTTTTATCTACTGCTCCTACAAGTATTAGACACCATTTTTCGCTGATTAACGCACAAAGCAGAGTTCAAATGAATACCTCAGGGAGGTATCCCACACCCAGCCTGTGGGGAAGGCAGTATTTCTCTAGATCCAGTCCATCAAACAACCTTTTATTTCTGCAACACTCAGGTATACTTTATTAAATTAGGCTGTATGACTTACATCCAGTTATTTAAATTGTGTGAATAGTTCAAGTGGATACTTTACTATACTTTAATAGTTCATTAAAGCCATGTCCCATCATTAAAGCAAAATTGCTTCTGTGAGCATGGTTAAACATAAGTCAGGCATGCATCTGCTAGGCTGCTGCTGCAGACAACCAAGTCACTAACTCTGGAGCAGTAACACCGTAATTTGGATATGTTTTACCCTAAATGCTACCAAAAGGGGGTAGTATTTAGAGCTTCTATATGGATGCTGGTCGTTTCCCAACTCAGTAACACACCACGATAGGTTATGTGGCTTGTGGCATGTCATTTAGGTTTGACTGACTTCACTTGATTCACAATTTAGAAGTAAGGCTCTCTCCACAGCTCACAGAAAGCCACTCACCTTATCCCCCCAACAGGTGGGATAAAACCCCGTTATTGTGTCTATCTCTCCACACTGACTGCAGAGCAAGCTTAAAGCCTTGAGGATTTTCCCTAATTTTTAAATGGCTGAAACTAACTGACGTCACCATCTGCCATCTATTAAAGGTGGAGGTGATATCTGTATGGTCTTTGTTTATCTGAGTCCAGACTTACGGAATGAAGAAATTTTCTTACAGTGTTAGACAAATCCTAGTATTTTTATTTCTGAAATATAGCTTCTGCCCTGCAGTGAAACGATGGTTTCATCTACTGACTGATTCCACAGGAGCTGACTAGAAAGCTGCAAATGCCTACACGAAAGTTGTGTGATAGTCAAAGCATTTTCCAACACAAAAGCACCCGAGGGGCATGTTTATACTGCATGATGCATGACTTTCTACCATTTGCCTCAAACACAGAATCCATAGAAAACATGCTTTTAGTAGATCAGCTATTAGCAAGCACCACTTATGCATTTTGAGTAATTTCTGAGAATAAAGATGAATTAGTCCCTGTCACATTTGTTTTTCATGCATTTCTCATTATCTTCCAAGGTAAACTGCATTTTTGGAACTCATCATTTGGGAGAATGGGCCACTGTGAATGGCACCATCTCTTGAATGGTTTAGCTATCTTGTTTCAATGAGATACGAGTTTCTGATATATTTAAATTCCTTGTTATTGCTCCATCAAAATCCTGTCTGCCTGTACAGACATTGCCTCTTGTGCCTTTTCTCTACTTTGCCATCCATCACCAGTATGCCAATGTCCTTTTATGTTTTCTACGATGCCCTGTTTGTACAGGGTGTTTTCCTCCAACAGGCTGACAGGGCTCCAAGAAAAGTCTTTCCAAAACTCAAGCTCCCTCTGCTTCTCCTCACTGCAGCCACACATTGTATCATATCTCACTAGATCCACATCTAGACTGGGGCCTAATTAAATGCAAGCATGAACTACTAATTCCTCAGAATAACACATTCCTTTTTCCTGGCTCCTCGAAGCATGATGAATAACCTCTCAGACCAGGATAAATTTATACCTTGTCTACAAGCAGGAAAAGGGGTCATGTTTTAAAAGTAGTCTGATACTCTTTCAACTAGCCTGGGTTGAACAGGACTTTGTTGACAAAGGCTGGCCAACACATTGCCATCAGCTCAGCGGTGAAGGGTTGTCTATGCCTTACATCCGTGGGTCGACCACATCCTTGACACAAATCTTAGGATGGGTAATTTATTTTGTGGAGGAGCCTCTCCTTCTTCACTGGCTTAGAAGAACCCTACATTACCAGCTCAAGAGGAGACGTCTGACATGACGCAATATGGCATAACATGAACACAGGTATGATGAAACCTGGGTGAGTGAATTCCATCTGCATGGTAAGAAACATGGTTGTAACAGGTAAACTCATTTTTAAGCTTATCCCTACTCACAGCATATGTTTAACTACGTCCTTTCACTTCATAAAATATTAGAGAGACAAACACTCTGAGGATGTCCTTCAACTTGGAAAGCTAATGCATTGATTTGGGAAGAAAAAAACAACAATACTGTCTGTAGTGTTTCTGCCAAAAAACCATATTGCTATGCTGCTGGCTAATGGAATGTTTGAAATTGAATTACGAAGGTAGATATAGCAGCAAGTGGGCTTGCAGTTATCCATAATTGTTTTTGTTGTCTTGCTTACAGCTTTTCTTTAAGCAGAAGTTCAGTCATCTTCAGATCACCGTGGAGTTTCAAAGTAACAGTTATTTCCCAGGTGATGTCAGTGAGCTTGGGATAACAATTGCTCTGAACCGATTACAAGAGATGGGAATAATCTGCAGCTCTCAGAAAATCCCACGATACAAAGGCTTTACACATATTTGTGAGGAGAGCCTTTACCCTTCATTTTTAGCATCACATGTTCAAAACTTTCGTATAAATCTTGCACAATAATTTACTCTGCATTACTGATCCACTAGCACCATAGTCCCAATCTTCCTGAGCTTTGTAACTGCATAAGATGAGGGGAGGAAAAAAGTCCCCAGTGAGAGTTAATTCTAGTATTAGTTTTTCTTTGCAAAGAATGCATAGTTTTTATGGCATAAAGCCAGTATTCAGTGTATTCACTACAAGTCTATATTGCAAATTAAACAAGAAACACTAACTGTGGTTTTGGTTTTCACTGAAAGCCACATAACGGAAGAAATGTGGTGTTTGGGAGCAGGTGTTCATCAGAACCCATTTCATACAGCCCATAACTAGTCCTAAAACACTGCATTTCCATAGTTCTGAAGCAGACAGGGGCTTGGAGGATGTATATTGGGAATGACCTGCAGGGGTGAGGTAAAGCACAGCTGCAGACCACGTATCTCTGCATTGTTCTTTTTGGCTAGACCACCTAGCCAAAATTCATACCTCCTTTCTCTTCTGTAATGCTTCCTTCAGCTATACATGTAAAAACTAGCAAAGCTGGTACATTCTGCTGTTCTGTACCAAACCCCTAACTTACACTGAAAGGATAAATTACATGCTAGAGTGAAATTTGAAAATGTCATGCGTAAGTTAACATCTAAAAGCAATGCATTCTCTCTCTCTCTTCTTTTTTTTTCCTAAATGCAGAAATGCCATCCTTAAAAAGCAACTGCAGGCAGTTTGAATAAAGTCTCTGCTAATACAAATATTCACATTGCAGTGAAGAATAATGAGATCTGCTTCAACCTAAGAGAACTGCCCAAAGCTTTTAAGAAAAAGAGAAACAGCTATAGCATCTTTTAAAAAGTACTCTGAAACATGAACTACTGCTGTACAACTAATTTAGGATTATTTCACATCACGCAGACATCACACAATTCTGAGCTTACCTGGGGGATCTCTGACCCGATTCTGTTCTGAAACAGATAAATACATTCTCTATCTTGCTTTCCAAAGACCCCCTCTGAAATACAGCGGCTATAGCAGTGGACTCCCAGTTTTAGATTCTGGAAGGAGTCCTAAGGGATCTCTGAGTACAGACTGAGAGGGAACAGCTTTGCAACCTAAACAGAATAGAATCCATGCCTCCTTGAATTGAGTTTCTGCAAAGCTGGTATGTCAGAGGACATACTCAAAGCCCCACAAGGTGATAAATGAGATCCTTATGACCAAAGGTAGACAAAGTCAAGTGTCATCTGCAAAGGAATGTTTGCCATTCTTACTGGAAGCCTACATATAAATGTGCCACCTCAGTGGACTGCAGACAGAAGCCCTTCCAGTCTCATGAACAAAAAAAGAGCAGAATACCAGACAGGAATAAAACATACTTCTGCTTGTTCCTCTTTTCTGAAACTAAGAGTAGAGCAAAGCCTACTTGTAGTTCATAGCAACGAAAGAGGAAGGCATCTGCAATGCAGTGAGGAAGAGACAGAGGGAAGGAAGAAAGGTAAGTTAGAATGCACACAGTAGAGCATGCAAACTAGCATTAGGATGACAAAATCTATGACCCCATAAGAAAGGCAGCTTTACTAATCCACATTCCCTCACTTGAAGGTCATTCATTCCTTTAAAAACACAATCCATTTCCCCCTTGACTTGCTGACGGGCAGTTTAAAAGTGTTCAGCCCTGATCTGCAGGGCAGATTGATTTCCCATATAACTTTGGCTGTAGCACTTAATCCCTCTGTGTCTCAGTGAAACAATCTACTTTTCTTCCCACTGAGGACTAGGCCTCTTCAACATCCTTGATGATCTTGACTTGCAAAGTACAGAGAGGTAGTTGCATCTGCAGAAAAGCTCTGCCTTTCTGTATTGCACTGAATAAGGAAAACTGCTGGTTCCAGAAAAACGTGGGTAGCAAAAAATACACAGGTGCCTTCAAGAAGGACAGAAACCAAAAACTGAGAGCAGTTGAAAACTGGCTTCTGTCTGTACAGAGCAGAACTTTTTTACCAAGTGAGCAGATGGTTGTGTTTGTTCTTTTATATTGATCCTCTGGTTCCAGAGTTGGAGCTGCACCCATGTAGCTCTGAACATATCAAAGGGTTAGAAAACCACCAACACCTATGAAAGAAACTCAGGAAAAAAATTCCAAACTCTATTGGAGGTATTTCTGGTCCATTTCATAAGGCTGCTCAGAATTCTTCACATTGCTTTGGTGATGTAATACATCACCAAATAAACATATATAAAATACATATAAAAAACATATAAAATACATCACTGTAATAAACTGTCTGTTGAACCCGGTTATTAATTTTTTTAGCCCCAGTCCTCAGAAACAACATGCATTAAAACAGATTTTTGGGACCTT